ACCTGTATTGGCAAAGAAATATTGGTTCTATGTTTTGATCTGAGTGCTGGTACATAAATATTCATTGATTGAAATTCATTGAGTAATACTTATGTAGTTTAATACTTTTCCAAGTATATGATTAACTTCAATAAGAAATTTCCTGAGGAATCATTATAACTCACCATATTAAGAAGAATAAAGAGAAAAATCATGTGATCATCCAAATAGATGCAGAAAAACATTTGATAAAATTCAATACCTATTCATAAAAATAAAAGCACAAACTAAAAAAAGGAGGCAATTTTCTCAACTTATTAAAGGGCACAAAACTACAGCAAACATTGTACTTTCTAGTATACTTCTGAATGCTTTCCTCTTGAGGCTGGGAATGAAACAAAGATGCCTTGCTATCATGTATCTGCTCCACATTATACTGGAGGTCCTGGCTCTGAGAAACTGTCTAACATTATTGAAAACTATCAAAAAATGCCTAATTAAATGGAAGGATATACCATACTCATGAATTATACAATGCCAATTCACCGGAAATTATCTATAGATTCACTGCAACTCTAGTCAAAATCAGAATATGTTGTTTGGCTTGTGTGTGTGTGTGTGTGTGTGTGTGTGTGTGTGTGTGTGTACAAAGACAAGCTCTTCAGATATGTGGAAGAACAAGAATAGCCAGGCAATCTCAAAGAAAAAGAATAAAATTGTAGAAGTGGCATTTTTAGCTATCAAGATCTATTATATAGATTTAAAAAGTTATAATAATTAAACTAGTATGGTATTGGCATGAGAATAGACAAGCCAGTGGAACAGAACACAGTTCAGAAACAGACCCATACATACATGGTCACCTGATTTATGAAGGGCAATACGGGAAAGGAAGGTCTTTTTACTAAATGGTGCTGGGTCAACCGAATATTCATGTAGAAAGTGAATACTGGCTCCCATGTGATGCCATGTATAAAAAAAATCAGCTCCAGGTACATTTTTAGATGTAAATACAGATTTGTAATCTGAAAGGTAAAACAATAAAGAATCTAGAATTAAAAAAAAAAACAGCAGAATATCGTTATGAATACGTAATAGGCAAAATTCTTTGAACAGGACACTAGAAGTGCTAACCAAAATGGAAAGGATTAATGGACTCTATTACATTTCGGAACTTCTATTTATCACAAGGTGCCATTAGGAGAGCAAAATGGCAAATCACAGACTGGAGAAGATATTTGCAATATATCTATCCAAGGATGGACTTATTTGCAGACCTAAAGAATTCCTATATATTAGTAAGAAAAAGGCAATCTAAAAGACAAATGGGAAAGATATTTCAAAAAGAGGATATTCAAATAGCCAATAAACATGAGAAAGTGTTCAAGTTCATCAGGCCTCAGGGAAATGAAAAGTTAAAAGCATAATTAAACACTACTGCACACCCAAATAAATGGCTAAACTTAGAGACAGAGAAGTACTAACTGCTGGCAAGGACGTGGAGAACCTGCAATTTCTAAACTGTGCTGGGAGAATGCGCTGGTACAACCCTTTGCAAAACTATTCGACACTGGCTCCTAAACGCAAACCCATTCAATTACCCGAAATTTCACTCTTTTTTATGTACGCTACAGAAACGCATGCACATATCCACCAGATCACATACGAGAATGTTCCGAGAAGCACCATTGCTGAGAGGGCAAAACTGAAAGCAACCAACATGAACATGGACAGATGAATTGTGGCATCTTCATAAAACTGAATAATATCCAGTATGGAGAAGAAGCAAACAGGCAAACATGATTTGAATGGATCTCACAAACAGAATGTTAGCAAAAAGAGTCAGACAGACAAAAAAGAATGCATACTCTGTGATTTCAACTAAACAGTGATCAAAACAGGGCCAAAGCAGCAACAGTGATAGAAATCAGAAGAGTGAGTCAGGACCCTGGCAGGAGGTGGTAACTGGACATCAAGAGGTGGGCTTCCATTCAGATTCTATTTCTTGACCCAAATGGTGATTGAATGAGTGTAATTTCTTGTACTTGTCTAAAATTATTACTTAAAAAATAAACAAAAAGAAGAACTTAGCAGGTGTACGTGCACTGATTTAGAAAGGTAGCCATGATACGTTAGCAACTGGGGGGGGGGGGAAGTCAGTCATTGTTCACCGAAGATGATTCTGTATTGGTAACAAAGTGAGAAGGTGATTATTATATCCAAAATAAATATGTGAGGGATTTATTAACGATTAGCTTTCTTCATGCCTATCTCTTGTATTTTTTGCTTTACGAAATTTTTGGATTTTTTTTTTAAGTAAGCATTACTTACACATTTGAGACCAAAAATAGTAAATAGTTAAAATAAAACCTTTATAGTGAACATTCCACAACAACAAAGATGTCCCCTGGAGTAGTGCAGCGTGGTGGCCCTGACAATGACATGCGTCTATGGTACCCAGTAGCTGAGTTTCAACAGCTCTGGTTCTGGGGCTCTCTCACCTGGCACAAGGCAGATCACTTAGGTGAGCAGGTCCTTTATACTTAACGGAAATGTGCTTTGAGTAGCTTCACTCAATTTGTGTTCAAAGGAGCCCATTTTGTGCGGTTCTCTGTGGAACATTCACTAGCAAAGGTAAAAACCTAAAAGACCACCACACAGAGGCCCAACTCAATTCCAGAGAAGGGGTGTGGTGCAGCAGATACGGCAATGGTATTTTCATGCATTATTTTACTTAACAAAAGGCAGAAAAGAGAACTACCATTTGACACGTCTTAGGTGTAACACCCAATAAGCTGACCTGTACACCTGTAGAGTAGTAAGACAAACTCTAACTTCTGTCAATTTTACTATCAGACATGCTTTTAGATCATCATGTTTTCCTCAACAAATTTATATAACTAATTAAAATGTTCTATCATCCAATTGTACTTTTACACATTATCATGGTAAAGGAAAGAATGTTGTATCTCTAAGCAGTATCCTCGAAAATTATGGTGAGATTTTTTATTTTATCTGCCAAGAATATCTATTGTGAATAAAATGATTTAGAAAACAAAGATGTTTCCAAGTAAAAATTAAAAACCTGCCCAAGATATGAAAAACACAAGTTGGATGTACACATGTACACACAATCTTTAAATATCAAAAGTATACTATTTCCCCTCATAGGAGAAATGTAGAACAAATTTTAACTCACTTTCCTTTTAAAAAAAATACTCCTGATGTATTAAGGGGTTTATTCATATCTATACTCAGAACAACAACAAAATAACCCAAAAGAACTTGGAATTTATGCTGAGACTTACAGGCTGAAGAAAATTAAAAGGAAAATATTAAATGATCATTTAATGTCACGACCACACCCTGAACTCTCCCTTTCCTCCCTCCAATGACTTTCATTCAGAGCAACTTCCTCCTTTTTCTTTATAAAGTAACGTTCCTTTCCTTTTTTTCTCCAGATTTGCTTGTGGTTTTGCCACAGATCGCTTGTCCCCAATTGCAATTCTTTGCTTTTCCCAAATAAACTCATTTTGTTGGTAAAATAACTGGCTGTTTTATTTTTAAGGTCGACTAAACCTTTTAAAAGTGATGCAGAAGAGAATAAGTACATACTGAACAAGTTAGAAGAGATTTCATCCTTCACATTATGCAAATGCATTTTGCTAGTGATATTTTCTATTTTTATAAGGATGATCCTCATTACTACTTTTACTATGTGAATTACAAAATTGCCTGTGTATCTGTTTTAACAGGAACATATACATAATTACTCTGTGGAGATATTTTCAAAAGTGTCAAAATATGAATTAAAACACTGACACTTTTTTAGAGCTCTTTATACGGTTCCAAAACACATGTTGTTTACAGAATGGAGGCATGGTAAAGTGGATTAGAACATTTGTATGGAGCAGTTTCTAAATGCTCAGACCTGATTATATTACACAGAAATTCTCTGGTTAGGGAGAAATGTGTGGATGCACAAAGAAACCAAAGTAACTCAACTGCCCTCATTTTCTGAGGAAAAGATTCTTCCTCCCTCTTCGGCTGAGATGAAATCAAGAGTCATTATTCCAACCACAGCTGAGTGTGGTCCCTGCCTGAAGTGAATAGGTTAGCTTTGCTCACAGATGTCATAACTCTTGTTCAATGGCTGCCAAGTACAGCTTTTTTTTTCTCTTAAGAAAAGCCTAATGGGTAACTGTAGTGGAGATGAGCGCAGTGCTACCAAATTGTGCTAATCTGTTCCACTTTGGGCCAAGTCAGCAGAAAACTCACTAATTTTCTTTTCCTCTGGAAGAGGAACAGATTTCCTACGGTGTTCTGGGAGATACAAACATACAGAAGAACTACTATGGCTGAAGACATAAGAACACTGATTACAAATTACCAATGTTTTCATCTGATGAGATAAAAACTATTGCACTAAATTAACATAACTAAGGGGAAACTCATTCCTTAGCTTACTACAATAGAACCTCAAAATTATAGGTGAAACTCTGTCTAGAGCAAACCTTAATCAGAAAGAAAGAGAATTAAATGAAGACAGGCAGTTCTTTTTCCTACACTCTAATAATCCTTCAGCTTTTAATGGTTAAACTTTTCCCCCAATAACCTTATTGCCTGTCTTAAATAGGAGGTACATTTCCCAGTCCCCCAACATATACAAATGCCATGAGATACTCCTGATTTCCCTCCCCCATGCCCTCTTGCAGATGGTGAGTGACTCCACCACAGAGACCTTCACTTTGATAGGTTCTGATTTGTCCCATCAGGAGTGAGGACCACAGAAATCACAGTCTAGCCCTTTCACTTTAAAAATGAGGGAATCAAGGTCAGGCTGTAGAAGGAGTGGAACCTACTTGTCCGAAGGGTTGGGACTAGAACACAAATCTTCCTCCCCTCTTCAAGTTCGTTCCACTGTTCTCTACTGGAGTGATAAAACCAACCCAGCAAACAAATAAGACATATTTCACACAAAAAAGCATAGTCTGTGTTTTTGCTAGTATTTTCGTTTTTACCTCTGAAGAGATTATCCAAGTCAATATCTTCTTTTCCTTTGATTTTCAAACACTTTGCCTGCTGTACAAGTCTGGGCAGAGAACAGAAATAAAATCTAGATTCATTATCCTGTGAGGTAGGAATAAATCATGACAGCAGCACAAATTTAAATAGAAACCACCGAGTAAACAATAGTGAATTAGCAGGTATCTTGCTGCACACAACCTTGTTAGAATTCTTCTTCCATATAAGATTTTAAAAATATACTTTCCGTCGGAAACCAACTTTGAAGCCTGTAACTTGAAAGCTCTCCCCTCTGCAACCCCCATTCATTCTGTTACAGTAAAAAGTTTCCAAAACTCTCTGGAGAATAATCTCTTCAGACTGTGAGGAGAAGCTAGCAGGGATGGTAGGGGATGGTGTGCTAATAGGTGGGTAAATAATAATTGCTACTTATGATTTTAGCTCTTATTTTGATCAGAAGATTATAGACATTGTACTAAAACAACTGTATAAAGTAATTTACGCAGTTGAATGTCAGTGAATTAATTAACTTTTAAAATGCTCTGGTATGCAGTAAGGACTAATTTTGTAACTTTTCCATCATACAACTTTATTAAAACTTGAAGCTCATGGCTTATAATGAACATGGAAGTTTCTAAAATGAAACTTTTTCCAGCATTGCTAATTACCTAGTAAATTAATTTTAAGTAGAGAGACCCTGAGATAGTTGATTAATTTATCTGCATATATTTATGATTTTAATGAAAATTATAATAGCTTGCTTTGCAAATGTATTTTCCTATTACCTGTATAGCAGCTCTCTCATTTTATCCTCACTGATAAGCTCCTGAGTATTTCTTCAATTTCTGTTTTACGTGAGGACACTGATTCAGGTCCCAAAACCTTACACAGAAACCTAAGCAACTTCTACATAACTCTAGGTAATTTTAGCCACATATCACTTAGATTATCCTTTTTACACTAAGACCTTTCTTAAATCAAAAAATCAAGAAACTGAGAAAGAATTTCTTTTGAAATCCCATCTTTGGACCTTAAAAGGAGGTCTGGTACCCTCAGTGTAGAAAATCTGGGTCCAGGCTCGAGGTTTGTGAGCCAGAGCTCATTTTCAAATCTACCGGTCTCAGCTTCCCAATGTGCAAAATGGAGACTGGGCTTGCCTTAAGGTGTTGGTTCTGAGCAATGAGTGAAACGATGTATTACAAAATAGTCTACAAACTTTTAGGCAGCACAGACACGCATAAAAATGTGAGGAATATTTTCATTAATTCAATATGCTTAATTTTCATTACATTCTGGATATATACAGACCATCAGGATTAATTTACATCCTTGTAAGAAAGAATATTAACAATAGAAAGAGGGCTTAAATTGAAGCAGCGAGCATCTGGTGGAGAAAGCTGGTCAGTGTGGGATGCCAGGGGCACAACATGTGCACTAAATAGCATGGTGCAGTCACTTTGCAAAGAGTAAGATGGAAAAAAGAATAATTTTAGCTCTGTTTATATATTTTGGCAAATATTTGTTTGGGTATATTCCCCCAAACTTGACAAATTTGATGAAACTGAGCTGATTTTCAAGCCATCTTAAAGCATCCCTCTACAATAGATACTGATGAAGATCTTGATTCTAACTTAAAAATTTTGAAAAACAGAAGCTGGTATGCCTTATATAATTTTGATGGGGATTTTAAAAAGCAATTTAAAAATAAATGAAATAAATTTACTGAGTAGTTTAAAAAAAAATTCCAGGCACTGCCATTTACCACCAATATATTTCAGTACAGTCTCGCTTTCAAAATTATTACATCACTGGGGAGATAACACCAAGCGAAACCCTGTAATCGGTTCAGGCTCAGTAACATTTCCTGAGGGAGATAGATGCCTTCTAGGGACTCCTCCACTTTTCACTTTGTTCACCCTCACGTCATTCGTGCAAACTCTGAAAGGTGGGGATAGGACTCCTGGTATAAATAAAGGGTCCAAGGCTCAGAGATCTTAAGCTACTTGCCCATCTTGGGCACACAGAGAGTCAATGGTGAAGCCAGAACACAAACTCAAGTCTGTAGACTCCATATCCAGGTTGGATTTGTACTCTGTACATCACTGTCCAATGTTTGCTGAGCATTTACAGAAGGCGTCAAGGAGATGTCACAGACAAAGCAGAAGAAAGGGAGTGTCAATCATGCTCCTGGCAGCTGGAGGGAGAGATGGCCTGGCACTAGGCTAGTGGGGAGTTCTGCGGAGAATGCAGCTGGGTCGGGTCCTGACAGAAGGGAGATGTGCATGACCAACAGCCTTGTAAAATTCTAGAAAATTAGGGAGGGAGAAAAGCAGAAACTGCCGTAGACCGAGCATAAGCAAAATGGGAGGGAGGGTGTTTGCAGGACATGAAGAAACTAATCAACCTATTTGGCTAAAGCACCTGCCCTGTGCAAGGAGCACAAAGAACTAAAAGAACAAGCTAAAGCCAAGTTGTGGAGAGCCCTGCACACTGTTCTCAAGTGTCTGGACTTCACCTTGACGGCAGAGGGAAAAGCGATTGAAGGGCTGCATCTTAAAAGAATCTACTGCATACAGACAGTAGAAACGTTTGCAGATGATTAGGCCAGTAATATGCCAAAGAGTAATTGTTTGTATTTTACCTAAAAAGGTATCACGATTAAAATCCCCAGGTATTACTATTTCACCGATAATTCTGCTTGAAGCCTAGCCTATACCTTTTATACAGCCTTCATAGTTCCAGGTGCTCCAATCAATCTTCAAAATCTTTTGTTAGTGATACTGCTGTCAGAGCAGTAAATGCCAGGCTACCTCTCTGTCCGTGTATCCCTATGCACTCTAGAGAGGAGGGCACATGACTAAGAGGATTCCTGTTTCTGTTGTTGAGACCTGCCCCTGTTATCTGAAAGGCTCTGCTACCCACTGGTTTTCCATTTGCCTTGTCCTTAGGATTCTGCTACGTCCACTTGGAAAAAGGGACCGCACACTCTCTGACCCTCTTTCTATGCTTCGGCTACATTTAATAAGGCAAGTTAGTGGCTACTGTTTCTGGGTTCAGTAAATGCTAGGCCCTGAACTAGATGCCTAACATGAAGGTAGGCAATATTAATCACATGTGTTGAAAAACACAGAGAGGCTTAGTAGTTGGCCCAAAGTCACACAGTAAACAGAAGAGCCAAAGTGGAAAAATCAGAATTTGGATTTAAGTCAGGTTAGTCGTCTAAATGTAGTTAGATGCCTTCCAGAACAGGAGTTGCAAAAGACAGTCCAGGAGTCAAATCCTGCCCATTGTTTCTGTGAATGAAATTTTAGTAGAATACAGCCCTGCTCATTTGCTACTTACTGTCCACTGCTGCTTTCACACAACAGTGGTCAAGCTGAGAAACTGTAGAAGAGATCTTAAGGTTCCCAGAGCTTAACATATTTACTACTTGGCCCTTTAGAGAAAAAGTTTGCTGACTCCTGTTCTAGCAGTAAAGGAAAAGGCTCCTAAAGCCAAAAATATACATATAACATGTGATGGATTTACATTACTACTTTTCTCAAAATGGCCTTAATAACTGCAGTAGTTACAACTTAGAGTAGGGCTTGAAAGGCAAATATTGAGCTCTGACTGCTCTTTATTTCTTAGACAAATTGCCCAAGTCCAACAAATATTTCTTTGAGCTTTTCCTAAATGCAGGTGTTGCATTCATCCAAAATGGGGTCTGCCACCAAGAGACTCATAATCTACCGGAGGATACAGATGTGAGCAGTGCCAATTTCCACACAAAGCAGACTGAGGAAAGGGCTACACGAAGAGAGGAAGGAATTGCTTTGGGATCACAAAGTGGGAGGGTATTTCCTGCTTAAAATGTCAGTGAGATCAGAAAAAGCTTTCAGGAGATGAGTTTGCAGAGGGCTCAAACCAAGTTTTACTAAGGGAAGCGTCGAGAGAGACACCGCAAAGACATTGGCATGTGGAAAGCAGGCAGGGGAAGAAATCATAGTGGCTGTGGTGTGTGATGAGGTGAGATGTGCAGGCTGGGGACACATTATGAGGACTGCAAAGTCTTTCTACATACGTATTCTTATGTTTATGTGTGTGTACACATGTATGTATATGTTTGTATATGTGAATTTAGTTATAGTAAAGCAAAATAAATCAAGGACTCTGTAAGACTCTATAAACCTAAGAAAGGGTCCATACAGTATGTTTAGTTTATAAGTAAAATGCAATTCAACTTTTAAAAGTACTGCATTATAAAGCATCAATAAATGATCTACATATGAAAATGTTTACTGCAGCACTATTTACAGAGGGAAAATACTGGAAACAACCTGAATACCTGTCAATAGGCGAATGAGCTACGGTACGTCCACACTATGGAATACGATCATTATTAAAAACAATGCACTGAATCCACTTAATATTGCAAATTTTCCATGACACATTGTTAAGTAAATAAAGCATGTTTTAAGCTAGTATCTTTTATTGTCAAACTTCCTCTGAGCCAACAAACAATGGTTTTACGTGGCAGTGCATAAAGGATAGGGCAAATTTGTTTTCCTTTGTAGGCAGACTTAGTTGCTTAAGTCTTTACAACTTTTCCATATAAAAATAAAAGTCTAAGACCAGGTTATTTTTCTTCTGGCCATAAATGCTGACTTATTTACAGGTGCCTTATTCAGACCACCATTATAAACTTAGGATAAAAATACGTGCGTATTTTATAAAAGCTAAAGCTTTATTTATTTATTATATTTAATGTCAGGGTCCTTTAAAACTTCCCTTATGTGTTCATGTCAAGAATGTAGTCATGTTTCCCCAACATGATTATACCCTAATCTACCCAGAGTGATACAAGCCAACCTCAAAAGAAACATTAACACAAAATTACTGTACTGTTTTTTAAAAGAGTGAATATCTTTTATTCATATCTGAATACCTGAATATCCATATGTATATAAACACAGAAAAAGTGTAAAAGAGAACATGACTCTTCACACAAGGAGCCTCAGGACACCCATCAGAGTTGAGAAGTGGGGAGTGAGAAATTTTTTTAAAAAACTTCTATATTACCTGAAT